CCGCAGCCTCCCCCAAAAATCAAACTTCAAAGCAAGAACATTCAGTGTTCTCGTAACACTCCATCACGAATGAGGTGCTTTCTGGGGAAACAGGGCCACACATTTGTCACATACCACCGTCAAGTCATAATGCCTGTTTCCACAAATAAGACAAACATATTTTGTTTTGAAACTGCAAACTCCCCTAGAACATGATGAAATGGTCTAATATGCAATCGTTTTGACATTTCTGGCTTTTGTCATTCTTCAGGAAAGAGGCATTGCAAATGCGTCTTTTTCTTCAGAAAATGAGTTCTTCAAACCTGGTAAGGAGTGGCATTCAGGACAAACTATGCATGCCGCAGACACAGGCAAATCAAAACGATGTAAATGTGCAATTATCGAGTCTAGTCTTTCCTTCATTAAGTACCCTTGCACACACGATCCACTACTCACCATTGTACAGCATGTGTGTCAAATTCTGCACTTAGAAATGTCACAATTGTTGTGGACAGTGTTAGATTTAGTTTGAAATCAGTTTGTTATTTTCAAGATCTGATCACGGGATTGAGATTGTTGTAAATACATTTTTAAAAATTTCAAATGATTCATTTATTATTTAAATGTTGCGGTCTGCAGAACCCTCCGAGTACGAGGTTCAGGCAGTATTGATTGACTGCAGTCGCGTGATCTTTGTTGATGTTGCCGGAGCGAGGCTCTTTACTCAGGTTAGCATGCAAACGCATCGGAAACGTTGCTTGGCGCCGCCTTAAGCCAACAAATGATTTTGATTGATTTGCAGATGTGCATTGAATGCCAGAAAGTTGGAGTTCATGTGTTTTTGTCCAGCTGTAACGGTGAGGCCTTTGCAGTCGTGCCTATTGAGTTTTCTTCAAAGAGAACAGTGCATCATGGAAAATAATAATTCTGATCTCTGACCTGTTCTCCCAGAGAGTGTTTTAAGGATCCTCACATCAAGCGGCCTCATGAACCACATGAACCCCCAGCATATTTTTGTCACCGTACACGATGCTGTGATGTACATTCAGGAGCAGAAGGTACCATACCAAGTAGCAACAGCCACATGTTGGCCTTAATCGGGTTTTAAATGCTCAAACTATTGCTGCTTGTCATAGGAAAAACATCCAGAAAACACCACGACTGTTTGGGTTTGAAACTGATGCACAGCGATGAAGGCTCCTGTTCCAGAGAGAACAATCGGACTTGCCAGCCCATCACTGGGTGCATGTTACATGTAGTTGTGTTTCTAAGAAGCAGTAGCCTGTTGTAGCATTGTTGATGCTTTGGCCAGTCTTACCTATTTTATAACAGCAAGGCATCGTCATGCCATTTAGGCTGTTTTTTTAATTTTTTTTTAATGATAATATAATTTGTTGGCAATCCCGAGACAAATATACTGAAAAGTGCACTGAACTGGTTAAATGCTTTGTATATTTATATATTTTGTACTGTGTGTGCTTAAATATGAGCGCATGTAGAGGACACGCCAAGCAATACTGTTTGGTATTTGCCTCCAACCGTTTTCCAGTGTCTGTTTTTAAAACAAATATATCGCTATTCGAGGATATGAGACTATATTTTATTAAAGGAAATGATGGCTTTCTTCACCAATATGTAGTCTTGATGTGTGCTTGTGTATGTCCCTGTAAACATGTTATGACAGAGTAGGAATGTGAAGCATGTCAGGCTTTTGCTATAAAGCGAGACAAAATTAAAAAAAGACAAGACTATTTGACCACAATATCCGGATTATGGTTAAACGCAAAGCTTCCACCACAATAAATAATCTGAGCGTTGGAGAAAACATTTTTATCAAGGCCATTTATTGAGACGGGCTAAGCAATGCTTCCCTCTGGTGGTCAAAAGAGGTATGTCCTCGCACAGCCTGTAACCTTGACCTAATAATCAAATTGCATCAAACCAGGAGAAAAAAAAAGGACACAAATCTAATTATGTTCCCGCTTGATGTGAGGTAGCCAAGTTTTTTTTTCAGCGCATATTTTAAAGAGGCCTCTAGACAATGTACCCTGCGGATTTTCACTTTTAAGCTCAAGGAGTGTTGCACTAATTGGCAGGAAGTCGAACACTCCAATAAGAGGATGGTACACAAGGTTCTGGCCAACTCTTTATAAGCCAGATTCTACAGGCAGACCTACTAACATGCATGTCACCGGCAGCTCTACATTTGAAACCAGTGCAGCTAACACACAAACATACGAAATTTTTCTTTGTTTGACATTAGACGTTTATTTCCATAGGATGACCATTCAAAACGGGCAAATGAAGTTTAATTGAATACCAGTAAAATCGAATCCAGATTCGAGCAAAAATACCAAACCCTGCCTTTTCTTATAAGCACTTTTATAGCCGCACAGCTGAAACAAAGTACTGTATACAAAACACAAACAAAACTGACAAACTTGATGAGTTAAAACATAAAAAAAAAGGTTTTCATGTGTCAAATCAGTTACGCCACACATGGATGGACATCATGAACAGTCTTTTTTGTTTGTTTTTGCTTGCTTTGTATAGCTTTAAGGGTCACCGAATGGACTTAACATTAGCACTAATACTTTTCATGGTAGGTCTACATGTAAAAATGACGTCGGCAAAATTTACCACCTGAAGAAAAATCTGTAGGGATTTAGTGATGCCTTTTGCCACAGGATCACCCACTTTTGGAGTGCGGCTTGTTAATTACTATATTTTCTATTTCAGCCTGCCCACATCATAGACGTAGTGAGGGTTAGTTATACGTATTGTGTTCAGGGTTGGTTTGTCACTTTCTGTAGTCACCTGGTCCCTGAAACGGTGATTCATCGCCATCAAAATTCATATGCACAATCCTGAAGTGGTCCACTTCAACCTGTTAAAATATAGAAGAGATCTGCACAAAACTATGGATTTATTGACATCAAATGTGATCCCCTATGAGAAAAAAACATGATCACCTCCATGAACTCCAAACTATTGTGACGCTCTGAAGACTTGATGAAGCGGTCTGCCTCCATCCAGTGGCCACAAGTTGAAAGCACAAGAAGCTCAACCTTCCCACTGAAGGGTCACAGGGGAGAGTTTATTGGAATGAAATTACATGCGCATCACAGTCAAAAGCCTTCGAAGTAGGCAAAACAAAGCCACAGTCGAGCACAGTCAAAGCACTTGCAAATTATGCAATCTGCTTACTAATGTAGTATTTCATAAATGGTTGATGCAACCAAACATGCGTTGTAATAGTAATTCATGCGCCAAATCAATGTATTTTACTGTAAACTGATTGCAGTCGAGTCACCAAAGTCCAATGGCCCTTTAAGTTTGCCAGAGCAAAAAAAAAACAAATAGAACTCAAAAGTTGTATGAAGTAATTGCTATGCAGTAGAACTCCTATCGTGCAAACTTCAGCTTTGGAAGAGGCATCCACAGCATTAAACCCGCAAGTACAGTATTATTATTATTTTTTTTAGTTATTGGTGACTTAGTGCTGTGTAAGAAAGCATTTCTTACACATTTTCTACTCAATAGGATACAAAGGACTAAAGTGACAACGTGATGAAACAATTTTTAAAGTGTACACTAATCCATGTTATGCATTAAATCTAACAAAACATGTTATTTGAATCCTTTTCAACAGTGTCTTCTTCATAAATCATTGCATATTATGAACAAAGAGGCTGACGTGTTTCACCAACAAAGCTGTTTTTGTAATTTTCACTCATTTTGGTTTGGTTTTATGGAAGGTAGGCACATTAAATGACATTTCAATGTTCATTTCTTTTAATATTTTTATGATGGGTTAGAATGTAAAATGTGACTTAAATTTCACCTGTGTAGTTACTTGATTTTTGTGACGTCGCCACATTGACACTTTTAAATTACAGCTGAACTCAATCGAAGCTAATGTTGAAAAACAGATTGCGTTTGACTTTAGAAGCTCCACTCCACCCAAAAATAAAAGACGTACACTTGATTTTCAAGTTGCACATCTAGCACAATACATCTTCATTTATCTAGCGCTTTCATAACACCCGCAGCTGTAAAAAAAGCACTTTACAGAACAGTTAACATAAAATTATACGGTAATATAACACACCACACAAAACACGGGCAGTCATGCAATCATAATATTCCAGCTTTGTTGTTTGAAGCAGTTCTCGATGAAAGAGTAGAAAATCAAAGTGTCCTTTCACCAGTGGATCACAGATGTCATGCTCCAAATGTGCACACGCCTGCTACGAGCTAAGTTTGAAAGTAAACAAGAAGCTGTCCATTGACGAAATATTGAAGATTGGTTTACTTCTCCTGTCCCATGCAAATCCGCTTCAATTCCAATTCTGACTCTCAGGTGGAAATCCGCGCTTCACGCCGATGCTCCTGTCCCCTCATCCTCATCCATCCAGCCACACCAACGAAGATTGTTCTACAGCGCCAACAACGCCGCTGAACAAAATGGGGCTGTGAAAAATGCTGGCCATTGCAGGCGCAAAAAAAAAAAAACCCACAAGGCTGTCAAGCAACGACAGTCAAATAGCGCCGACATTCCTCCCCATGAAAATCAGCGCTGATCCACGCATGCTGCCGAATAGGCGCAACCATCAAGCATGTTAAACTAACACATATAAATTTGTTTATTTTGAGGAATGTGCAGGGAGATGAAATCGATTTATCACATTTTAATCATGTGCAACCAATGTACAAGTTCGAATAAAGCCAAAAGATGGCTCTACTGCACACACTGTAACCACACAGTTCAGGCGAGCAATTATTATTCTACAAGAAATAAAGTTGCCATTAGCACTGTGTGTGTGTGTGTGTGTGTGTGTGTGTGTGTGTGTGTGTGTGTGTGTGTGTGCGCGCGCGCGTGCGCGTGTAATACTGTATAGCTCATGCGCCACAAATATCAACCACAAGGTGGCACAATAGTCAGTGTTAAGACCACCCAGTGGAACTCTGGTCAGGAGCCAGAACCAAGCTGAAAAAAATGGTATGTTGAATTGACTCAGTTAATTTCGTCAAGTGGCTGCGTTCAGTAAAGTCATCTGGGTCCGATTTTTAAGTGGATTATACTGTACACCTACTAAAAACAATGTATCTGAATCCAAGTGATTCTGTGAATGCAACCACTTGATAAAATACAAGAAGAGTAAATTCAACACACCATTTTTTTCACTGCACACAAATGTCTTTAAACTTAAAGGATACATTTTCCCTACCATAGGTGATGTTCAAGAGGACAAACAGGACATTAACATTGTTGTAATACCAATGAGATACGTTTCCACTTAAAAAAAAAAACAACATGATTTGGCAGAGACAACAATAAATACATAAATACAAACATAATCACATTGCAATTGGTATGAAAAGGGAGGGCAGACGTCATGAATGTGAGGTCATGCATTTGAACCTGTTTGTGAAGTAAAAGGTTTCATCATGAAGGTCACTTTCTTGAGCGTATCGAAATTGTTTATAGGCCTTTTCAGATTTTGTTCCACTCCACGGCAGTTTAATCTTTGACGCATGGTTTATAACCACGTCATTGCAGGAGCCAATGTGAAGAGAGCCCAGCCCGTCAATGAAGAACTCTGTAGGGAGCAAAAGAACATTTTGTTGTAAGAAATGTTCTTTTCTCCCAGTTTTCAATCGTAAAACCATCCTTGTCATTACAGCGACAATACGGCAGACATTTTGCTGCAGCCCAACCATTCATAGGTGCAGGCGCTACTCACCCAGATGGCCGCGGCGAGCCAGGCGAGGGTTAAAGCCCACCTGCTGTACTTTGTCAGTTCTCCCCATGAAGAAGTTGATAACAGCATCGGTAACCACACAGTTGGGAAATTCCTTAATGACATGATGGTAGCCGCGCCGAATATGTATACAGTCGCCATCTTCTCCCCCTGTTTCCACTGAAATGGTGTGACGGAAGGTTGAAGTCCAACCTGTTGCCTCTCGAACCGCACCCCCAACCTGGAGCATTCACAACGGCAAACAATGTGAAGGAAACGACCGAAAGGTGCAAGCGTAGACTGAGAATAGAAATGATGAATTTGACCAAAGATGTCAGCAGGGAATGAGTAGCCCGTGTAAATAGCATAATAGCATCATTCCCAAAGAAATTTAACAAACAAGAATTCGGTTGCTTTGATTCAACCTTTACTACACGCTCAGATTCCCCACACCTCGGTGCACCTGTATTTGAGGATAACTGCGGCACAAAGTGTATGTCCAATAATGCACAGAGCCGAAAATTTATTGCGGACTCATGTTTCAGAAAATGGATGGATGGATAAATGAGAGGACACTGCACTGTGTCCTCCTGTCATAGTTATTATCTACAGACAAAATAGGTCCTGGTTTTATCCAAAAATATGTGTGCGTTTGCATGGTTGAAATGTCACTCCTAAGTGAATGATCAGTTTGGATGATATGATTTTTGAAGCATTAATATTAAATATACTGTATATGGAACACTGACTCCCACACGCAGAACCACTGTAATGTTCCTGACAGAAATGTATAAGTAGGAACATTCAGATAAATTGTTCAGGAAGCGAATTTCTACTGATTGGCAGCTCAGTAAATGTGATGCGGTCCAAGATGATGCAACTAACTTTAGTGCTGGTGCAATAAAACTAAAAAGTTAAGTGTAGAACACTAGCGGCATTTACTGGAGTGGCTAACACATCGGGCCATGATTTGATCCAAATCAAATCCACAGAGAGGCCACAATTGGAGTTGATCCCATAATTTCATTCATCACCATGTTGCTCATGAACAGCAACTGTTAGGAAGTCATAACAAAGGCGGCGAGTTTTCACAGCTCCACAGCATTCTTCGGCTTTGGAACATAAAAATGCCTTTGTGTCCGTTTTGGTTTGCGGTTGCTTCATGTTCAGAGAATGCAAGAAACAAGAATGAATGTCAATCATTTTGTCAAACAGGAACAATGAACAAGGGAAGTTCCAGTCTGGTTGTTGGAGCATATTGCGTGTTATCTCACCACAATTGTGCAGGACAAGGATGAGCAACTTAAATACTGGAAGGCGTCACCATTTTTCATCGGTGCTAACCAGATACCAGATGAACAAAAATGGCATTTTAAGTACGGACAAAATTTGTGCATGTTTGTTTTTTTACTGAACCGATGTACGTGAGAGTATCTTAATATAGTTCCGGCGAAATGCGTGAATCATAGAGCCAACCTTCAACTACAAACGGTTTGAACAACCCAAAAATAACCACACAGTGTATTGGGTGCAAACTCTTGCTTGCATAAAATTACCATTCAAGGATGGCACAAAACTGCCGAACAGCAAATGGTTGCAAGTATTTTGTGCATTTTTCACACACAATTTTAATATTAGTCAGATACTATGTTTGTACTGTCTGCCGTTCAAAATACCCAAATTATGAAGCCGACTCATGTTGTAGCATAGGGCAGTATAACGCAACTATTATACCATACAGTGAGTTGCAAGTGATGTCTGCTATTATGAATGGGGCTATGACAACTAAAAACGAGAGTGGAGGAAACACGTTTCTGACATCCAGGCAGGCTGCGAGCGAGTGTATCAGTGAGACATCCCGCGATCCACCTGGCCGGTTTGATGGCCATAAACATGGCATCCAGACAAATCAATCATTTTTACCGACATCTCGAAGACAGTTTTCATTAATATATCATGGACACAAAATATGGAATACAAATGTTCATTTCTAAACTGTTTCTTTGTCTTGATCTAGATAAAGAACTAAACTCAAGGAAGCTTTGAGGTCAAGAGATTTGGTGTTGTAGAAGTTTGACTGATTTTTGTTTTCAACACGTGTGCTAGTTATGTGATTTTACTTTATTTTTCTTTCTCTAAATGTTTCAAGAATTAATGAGGTAGAAGATATGCTTGTTGATTTTTTTACACTCCATTGTTAGGATTGGGAAATGTGATTTCCCAAGGTGGGGTTTTTGATCAGTCTGTAATGGGCTTCTACCTCACCTGCACATGTGATGCATTTTTCGCTTTTTATATTTGAAATTTTTGTTCAAGAATGTGTAAATAATCAAAAACAACAACAGCATTTATTTAAACAGAAGGGGTGTAACCCGGTCAACATCACAGACAGGCTTCCGCCTTTGCATGCTGCGGCTGATTATTCAAGATACGCTGCAGCACCGGCCTCGTCTGGCACAACGTTTGCAAAACGAGTGTCATCGGTGACGGACTGATGACCCTTCCATTACCAGAATGACTCAGATTTGTCAAAATCTGACCAAGAAAATCCTGGCCACTGAATAACACTCTTGCGGCCAGGCTTGATGGCTTTGACTTCAGGGCCCTCAGGAGGATTGAAGGTATCTCGTGGACCAAGCACATCACAAATCAAGCTTTAAGAGATAAAACCAAACAGCCGCCAGCCTCCCATCTTGCAGCAATGCGGCGAGTGCGATGGTATGGCCATGTCATCCGCCTGCCCCAGGAACACCCAACTAGCACCATCTTGGCCTTCAACCCCCAGCAAGCTGGCTGGAGGCGACCCAGCAATATTAATATTAGGCCCTGCGAGCTATTACAAGCTTGCTTTCATAAAACCACTGTAACCAAAAAAGACTAAAATGGTGAAAAAAAGTTTAACGCTATCTCCACAATTGAGCACAAAATAATTCTGAACTTTAGCAGGTTTGCAGCCATTTTCTGTAAACATGTATAAGATATTTAGAAACAAACCTCTGATTGGACTTGACGGGGTTTTTAACACATGATGCAGTGCAGGACCGCATGGTCACAAATTGTGACAAATGGGAGGAAAAGTGATGTGTTGCAAATACAAAACATCAAACTCACAACTTGTTGCACACAGACTTCAAGAAAGACGGGTCATTTTGGTATTGGCACACAGCTAGTACGGCTTCAGAGGCGGGACGGCACTTGTCTTGAGGGAAATACTCAAAACTCATCCTCACTTGTCTCTGTCTAGCAGGGCGCTGTGTTAAGAGCATGTTAAGTCTGTCATGTGCCAATTTATCGAAAAGTGTGTGGGGGACAACAGTGCTTATATATCCATGGATATTTTGCCCTGGTAACACTGACAGTCTCTTGTATCAGCATGCTGGAAAAATGAATTGGTTCATTTGGTCGTTCGCTGGGACTCCATTTGATTTTACTGTCATCTTGTTCTAACATCTGCTTGCAACAATGACCCCTCCCCAAAAAAACCCTCATCTGTGTTTGTATCATGCTGTCGTACATTTTCACATTCTCATTTTCCTGCATTCATCTTACCAGATCCAGACTGGTCCTCTCAAGAATGTCCACCATCTTCTCCAACCTGGTGTCTGCTTTGAAGATGAAGTCATCGTCCACCCAAAGCACATATTTGGTGGTCACCTGAGACACTGCCAAATTTCGCCCAGCAAACCAACCCTAATGATCAAACAAGGAGCGGTCATCGGCAGTGTTTACTCATCATGACATGCGATACTTAGTTGGATAAATACTGACTTTTTTGAATGGCATAATGAATTGCTCAATATGAGGTCCGGTTACTTGCTGAGGATGCTCATTATCATCTGCTATCACAATGGTGACGGTTGGATAATATTGCCGTATGCTGTCGATGAGATCTTTGAGTTTGTCATAACGTAGAAAGGTCTTGGTCACAATGGTAACAAGAGCGCTAATGTTGGTCTCTGTGGAGAAAACATTGATCACGTTTTTGAATGTGACAGAAAAAAAAAAAAATCAATCAATCAAACAATGCTGTAGAAAATACTCAAAAACCTTTTGGATAGCCTGAGTTGTAAAGTCGTGGGATGGCGGAATGTCCAATTTTTATGGTGAAGAATGCGCTGTGACCTTGAGTTGCAAACTGAACTGTGGAGAAAAATACCAGTGCAATAAAAGCAGCGGTCAGATTTCACGTTCCACACAATTGCCGTTCTTTGACTAACACCGAACTTCCTCACCACCACCATCTTTACTGTTTGCAAAGGGTGTACAATGCATGTGGGCACTTGGCACGCCCACATACACTAATGCATTTCAAGTTCGACCTATGACCACCAGCAAAGCAAAGCGACAGCCCAGTGTGGGAGTGCAGAAGCAAGTCCATTGACGGGTTTCGAACTCTGCATGTCGCTCAACCTTTCTTGAGCAAAGACACATATTTTAAAACAGAAAAACCTAGACTGAAATCATGGTGAATGTACCCACTCGGTGTAAAAATCTCTGCCTGATGTGTTCTATTATTTTTCATAGGTGGACCCGCAGTACCTTCTGCTACCCAGTGGAAGAGCGTTTCATGTTTCTGCTTGTCACATCTGTCCCTGGCATAAATACATTGGAAACTAAAAAAACTACACATCCAGATTCAGACGCCAGGTTTTTCTGATTGTAAAGGAAGGCGGCCAAGAAAAATGATTTCACAACTTTTTCCACCGTAATTGTGACCTTTAACCTGTTGAACGCAATTAAAAAAGAATACATCTGTTTGATTGGCAAAGAAAAAAAAAAACGATTGTGAGTGTACAAGTATGCACACCCTCCTGTGGTCGGAAGTAACCAATCACATTCAAAACAACCCATATTCAACGAGTCAGCACACAACTGCCACCATTTAAAGTGCTTTTGAGTAACACCAAATAAAGTTCAGCTATTCTGTTCCTGACTTTTGATTATTTTTGCTTTACAGCAGAAACTCGAGGTTTTCTCAAGTTAAAATGCAACAGCTCCAAAACAGCTGCTACAGGGTCATGTTTACCACTGTGTTGCATCACCTTTTCCTCTAACAACGTTCAATACATATTTGGGAACTGAGGACACAAATTTTTGAAGCTTTGTAGATGGAATTCCTTCCCATTCCTGCTTGATGTACAGCTTGAGCTGTTCAACAGTCCAGGGTCTCCGTTGTCATATTTTATGCTTCATAATGCGCCACACATGGGACACAGGTCTGGACTGCAGGCAGGCCAGTCTAGTACCTGCACTCTTTTACTGAACATGATTTGCCACTCATGGTTTGTGTTTATTCTGTTGTTATGTTTAACACAAAGTTCTAACTTCATTAGAATTGAGTTTATATATACATTGATTCATTTATTATTATAATAATACAGTGACTATTTAATAATAGGCCAAATAGCATTTGAGTTATTGTTTCAGGCGTTGATGTATATTCCAGCCTGGCATATATGAGCCATATATAATCCGCTTTCAAGTTCTTGCAAGTATCTGATGCAAAGTTGATTGCATCTGTCTGTCTGTAGTTTTGCGACCAAGGTTCAACCAAAGTCCTTTTATTGTCTTTCTTAAACGTTCCCATGAGAGCAGGGGTGCCAGTGGTTGTGTCATCATCAGTCCAAAGGCTGATCATTAACCATATAGTCCGCGAGGTGAACCACGCCTTTTCAAAGTTTTAGTGTCTCTTCTATGTCTATCTTCTCTGGGGCAGTGCAAACACTGAAGATGTAAATTAGAGTAAAATCAGCATCAGGATGAGACCAACAGGGTTTTGCTTATATTTGTTTAAAACAGGGGTGTCAAACTCAATTTTGTCGTGAGCCACGTCTTCCCTCGGAGGGCCGTTTATGACAGTGAATGCACAAAAATGTTTCATCGTTTCATTGTATTATTACTTGTGCAAAACAAATAATGGATTACTAGTTTTGAAATGAGCCAAGTTAACTATAGTTTATTCAATTATTGTTCAAGTGAGTGTAATGAGGCTAACAAAATTATTTCAAAATCTCAACATTATTTATTACACATGAAAATTTGACATTTCGGTACAGATTTTAGCAAGGGTCATGGAAGTTGACATGCATTATTTGCTTCCACGGAACACATTTTTATGTGCCGGGCCGGATCTGTGCCCCGGGCCTTGAGTTTGACACCCGTGGTTTAGAACGTCTGTATCACAGCAACAGGTGACATTGGTCCCATGTGAGTCAACTGCACCTGTGTCTGCGGTCCTGGGATGAAATACAGTGTTTGTATAGGTGATAAACTGCAACTGCCTGTTCAGGGCGGAGAGAAAAGCGCTTGAGAGGATCATGTGAGGCTTTCCTTCTCCTTTAATCGAGACCCTCTCCACTGTGGCAGCGACATCAAAAGTCCCCAGTGTGGCAGTCAAATATACCTGTGGGGGCATTTCAGGAAAGAGGGTTGGGGGGGGGGGCATTGAACATTTTTAAAGCTTTCTTATTCGATAAATCACCAACTTTTACTGTGCATAAAAGGATGCAGACTTCACCTTACCGTATGGTTTGATGTTGTTTCCTCAATAAGACCCAAACCTAGAGCAAAAACAAACAATTAAATAAATAACACTCTGAACCTGTAACTAAGAAGTGTTTGATGAGTACTCATCCAAGCATGACTTGAAATATAGGACAAGAGTGAGAATCACAAAGCCACACATGAAATGATATTTTGCCAACGATAAAATGAGAGGTGGGCGTATCAGTAAATTTTGCAGGTCCTCTTTCACCAGTGGCCAGGCCACCCCTCTGTCATCGCCAGTCCATCATTGATTGAAGATGACCAAATCTGTCATCATCAGTCCATCACTACTTAATCGTTATTTTAACCATGCTTCTGTCATTGCTCAATTCCAGTTAATCGCCGCTATTTTAGGCTCTTCAACCAGTCCGTTGTTGTCAGTCAGCCATCGTTATTTTAACCACGCTTTTAAATACTTTATTAAATAAATTACAATTTGTCGCCATTATTTTAGGACCGTCACATCCATCGCAGCAGACAGCCAATCAGCGTTAAGAACGTACTTATAACAGCACACACGCACGGGGTGAAATAAAAAGAATGTGGGACGATATAATTGCAGTCTGCGAGACTGAAAGGGATACAACACTTCTTGCTTCCATTACCAGCCGGGACAAAAAAATGACCATGCTTGGAGAACGGGGAGCGAGAAAGATGACATATCTGGTAGGTGCATTGACTTGTTGACAGCTGTTGAACTGTCAAGCGAGATAGCATTTTTTTTCCTGTCGGGGGAGCCCCTCCTCTTTTCCTCTCGTAACAACCCCGGCGTAATCACTGGCACACACAAACTCCCGACACCAACTGCCAGTATGCATTTAATCGGACATGCACCACAGTTCGGGAGTCTCGGCATTACCTGGTATGAGGATTGTGCCGAGGGGCCGCACTGCCACACCCTGTGAGGGAAACTGAAGAGGACTGTTAGCTTCATTTACAATCAGCACATCTGCAGGACTGGAGGACCTTCATACACACAGTAATGTGTGTTAGTCATTAAAAAAAAAAACACACGCGCACACACACACACACACACACCCACACACACACACACACACACCCACACACACACACACACACACCCACACACACACACACACACACCCACACACACACACACACACACCCACACACACACACACACACACCCACACACACACACACACACACGCACAAAAATACCCAACAGCCAACAGCAATTCTCACTGTGTGACTTGACAATACATTTAATACGTGTTCCAAAATACTGACAACTGGCCCTGAGTAAGCTCAAGGAAATCAGGAACCCTGTATTTTCAGCCAATCTCAAGTTTAAGATGATGCCTTTTTGGTATTGGTTTCATTTCGACAGAAAACGACTCCTGCACCATTTCCTGTTCACTCAAACAGGTTTTACTTGCCAGGCCACAAAATCAAACAAGCAGGGCCCATTTTATAAGAATTGGCAATAATCAAAACCTGTCGTTAAAAAAAATAAATTACGGTAATTAAAAAATCATTTGAGTCTACAGCGATTTGGCCCCATGTAGATGGATAATTTCAATTGAAAAAACATATTACTTTCCATGACAGGTTTTGCTGTGGAATTGTGGAAATATTCATTCAACTGTACATGAGCATTTCTGAGCCGTCCAGGGGCATGCGGTGTCCGGACCAACCGTGCTGCCCCTTTTGGAGGGTATGGGCATCCCCCCGCACCCCTGATATGACATTGAATATAAATTGAAATGGATTTGCAAACCATCGTATTCTGTCTGTATTTACCTTTACACACAGTCTCGACTTCACTGGAATTGTATATGGTTTGTACATCTCACTCAAGAAATGACATTTTATTCATTTATTTATTCTAATTTGTAGTTGGAAGTAAAAGGAACCATTCTCATGAATGTGCAATAAGAAGTTATCCAAAAGTTAAAGATCCATCATACCAACCCGTTTTCTAAAGACACCTGATACAGTGAACTAGGACTTTACCTCATTTGAACACCGCTGTATTCTCGAGCTCGGCTCTGCTTCACACCCTCGGGGTCAGGATGGGATTGTAAAAAATTCAGGCCCGGGTTATGAGCCTTTATGCGCGGGAAGAACAGATTGGAGAAAGGCAGCTGAAACGTCTCCTTATCAGCCACACAGAAACACGTATTTCTTGCCAATCGACTGTATTGGAAAACAAATGTGTGATGACCAGGATTGACCAATGCAGAACACAATTTACTTATTAAAACCCACCATGCTACATCGTCTTTTATGTGATAGGAAATGTCATTATAGTCATTCAAGCGGTCTTGAAGTTGCTCCATGATGGCAGTCTCCAATTCATTGATCCTTCCTGGCCGTAGGTCAACTCCGAAGCCGCTTCCTGGACTCCGGCTATTTAACAGCACGACCAGCAGGAAACCACTGATCACGAGCAGTCCAAGGCCCTTCTTATAGGACACACGCATCTGGAAGGAAGATCACAGCATACCGTATGTTGTCAAAGTACATATTGTTGTCAGACAGAATGCTCGTATCTCCAAAATCCCAACTTTTCATGGAATCAAAAAACAAAATGCCAGCTCGTTTGAGTCACCAAACAACGCGTGGCTTAAGATGGCATTCCACCTTCGACTGCGACCATATACCGCTGCACGCTTTGCACGCATGGTACTCAGTTTTTCCAACTGAGTACCATAGTCTCAGATTTGGATGTGCTGATTCTCATCCCAGGTGGCACGCTAGTCAACTGGTAAGCATGACCATCTCGCAGTTCAGAGGTCATGGGTTTCCTGTGTGGCGTTTGCCTGTTCTCCTGCCATGCACGTGGGTTTTCTCCAGTTACTCTGGTTTCCTCAAACATTCCAAAAACATGCCCGGTAGCTTAATTTAATGCTCTAAATTGGCCCTTGGTGTGACAGTGAGTGTGAATAGTTGTTTGTCTATGGGTGCCCTGTGATTGGCTGGCAACCAGTTCAAGGTGTACCCCGCCTAAAACGAATCAGAGGATGGATGGATGGATGCTTCTCATCTGCATCGCTTAACACTTGGCTGCAAACCGCTCCCGTGAGAGTTGAAAATTGTGGCTTGATGATGCCAACAGAACCACATCATCTGCAAACATACATGCAGGAACATAGTATTGTGGCCGCCAAAGTGGATCTCCCAACGCCTTGGCTTCACCTACAAATTCTGTCCGTAAAGGTTAGGAAAAAATGGGTCCAGTGAGAGTTCTACTCTCACTGGAAATGAATTTGAATTCGTGCTGGCAATGCGGACCAAACTCGACGCTGGTCGTACAGGGACCGAATAGCCCATATCAGGGGGTTCGGTACCCCTTATTCCCGAAGCTCTCCCCACAAGAGATGGTCGATAACCCTCTCCACGTGGACAAAGCACACATATGGTTGCCTGAGTTCCCATGCCCCCTCGAGGACCCTGCCCAAGATGTCGAGTTGGTCCTCTGTACCATTGCTGGGAGGAAAACCTAACTGCCTCTCCTAAATCTGAGATTCGACTTCTCAGAATGGCCTCCTCTCCGACACTCAACTCAAATGTATTTACAGATCACTTTAAAACAACAACGGCTGTATGCAAAGTGCTGTACATGGAACAAAAATAATTAATACAACAACAAACATCCATCCATCCATCCATTTTCTGATCCACTTTATCCTCACAAGGGTCGCGGGGGTGCCGGGGCCAATCCAGCCGTCTTCGGGCAGTAGGCGGGGGACACCCGAAACCGGTTGCCAGCCAATTGCAGGGCACATAGAGACAAACAACCATCCACACTCACACTCACACCGAGGGACAATTTGGAGTGTTCAATCAGCCTGCCATGCATGTTTTTGGAATGTGGGAGGAAACCGGAGTACCCAGAGAAAACCCACGCAGGCACGGGGAGAACATGCAAACTCCACACAGGAAGGCCGGCGCGAGAATCGAACCCGGTACCTGTGCACTGTGAGGTCGACGCACTAACCACTGGTCCACCGGGCCGCACAACAACAAATAATTAAACAATAAATTAAAAACAAATACAGTAGAAAGTCTCATGTTCAGCTCTGTCTTTGTTTTTGTTTTCAGCACCATCTGGAGTGGAGGGCGTTCCTCTTCAGCAGTGCACCTGTTTCTCATTCCCTGTCAAGCCTTGGCTTACTCAAGGACTGTCAAGTTTCCAAGTCTGTCGGATTTTTGACCTTGCTGTTAAGCTCAAGAAATATTTTCTAGACCTCACGTGCACGCTCATAGTCGTGTAGCGACGCCACTCGAGTGAAGCGCGACTCAGCAGTCGATAGTCCGCTGCTCTCCGCTGTGCGTGCATCAGCGCGGACGTGTACGCATGTACGTCTTTTGGCTGCAACCAATCAGTGCTGACGCAACGGACGTTACACATCAAAGAGCTTTAATCTATTTTATACTGGAGACAAATTCCTTGTGTGTTCTACATACTTGGCCAATAAAGATGATTCTGATTCTGACAACAGCTAAGCTAGCCTAGCCACGACAACAGCTAAGTTAGTGAGTTGAAACGACACGACGCTCGAGGTCGGACGGACACGCGCTTTCCATTAATCTGTATGTCTCTCTTCTTTTCTTTTCTTATTCTACAAAAAAATACATATATTTTTCTGCGAACAATAGCTGTCCTGTCCACGTCTTTTTTTTCGTCCCACCAGGGTTTAGCCAGTGTGATTATAAAGACACCAAAAATCTCTTCAGTCGCTCCTCTTCCGAGAGTTCCTTGTTTTGTAAGTATTTTGGTTTTCCAATTATTCATGTCTGATTTAAGTTTCGGGTGATTCGGGCATTTGCCATTTCGTTTTGTATTTTCGGGTATCAAATTTGCAAGCGCTGCATGTTCATATTTGGTTTTCCTGGCTCTTTGTCACCAGTGATTTCAGTTTTTACTTTGGCGGTAAATATTTTTGTTTGGTAGTTTAAGATGGGGGGTGGGGGTGGGTCAACACCAGTCAACCCCCCCATCCCACGAAAGCTAAGACAAGTAAATATGACGAGGCATCTGTAATGCTTGGTTTCACTGTGACGCCATTGGGAGATGGACGAGCAAAGACCGGTGTGTTAACTGTGTCTACAAATGCTGGCTGAGGACAACATGAACTGGAATAAATCAAAGGCGGCACTTAAAAGACATTACACTTCACTGATGCTGATAAGCCGCTGGAAAAGTTGTGCACTGCAAAACGTGCTCATCTAGCCCTTAATTTTGATTAAAAAAAAAAGAAAAAATCAGCACAAATTGTTTTATTCAATTGTGTTTTGTATACTACAGTGTTTTATATATTCTGCTCCTGAGTTAATGTTGCTGAGCTGAATTTGATTTATTATTATTTTCTTGACTTATTTAATTTTCATTTTCAGAATGGAGCAATGGTTCAAATGTTGCAATATGTTGTTCAAAAAGTTGGTCAAAAATGTTTCAACAAGGTTTAAACTGATTTTTTTTTAAATTTCATGCCAACTGATGCATTTGAAATCTCAGACTAATGTTAAAGTTATTCTTTCATGTAAGTTAAACTATTTTTCTTTCTTTTCTTTATTAAGGCTACAATGGAATGCAGAAGTGTACTAATAACAATTTTATAGACAAATGATAATTATTGTGGTGGCAGAGGTGGGGGGTGTGAATTGTTTTCTTCTTATTGGGTGGGTAGGGAAGGGGGGTAACAGAAAATAATTGAGAAGCACTGATTTAGAGTGTTCCATTAACCCACCATGCATGTTTTTGGAATATACCCTGTACAAGTGAATTGATTCAAGATTAAACATTTTCAAGAGGGCAAGTGCCAAAAAAAGAGATAATATGGTTGCACAAGTCAAAGCTTTCATAAGTGGTGATGTTGCTTTGTTCAGAATGAAACAGTCGCATGCAGGCTCGTCCTCTGAGTCACCCCAAGTCAGGCTCTGCTTTATGACATGCCGTATAAGCACGGAAATGAGTCATGCATGATGCAGCAAAACAAGATAACATCTTACTACAGCAAAAGGACATTGTATGCTTGGTGTTGGAGTCAAGGTTCACAAACACTTGTTGCGTATGCGTCGAAACATTTCTTAAGCAAACACATCTACTGTACATATTGTCTCACGTAATTAAAAAAAAAAAGTGTAGCTACTAAAATTGGAAATTGTGGACGTTGTATCCAGCGGGCCAAAGAGGAAAATAATTGTCTAGATCAGGGGTGGCCAACCAGTCATAGACTAAGAGCCAATTTTGTTACCGTGTTGCTGCAAAGAGCCACATCATACACATGGGAATCCCTTCCGCGCGCGCGCGCACACACACACACACACACACACACACACACACACACACACACACACACACACACACGCATGCGGGTGCCCAACCATGCACTCACGCACATATGCACTCACTCCATGATGAGCAACAGCCCGAACATGAACGAAAGCTAAAAACACAAACACACCAATCTTTTTTTCCCACCCATTTCCTCCTCCCACCCCTTGCGGTCCGCTGGCTCTCGGTCGATTGCGATCGACGCATTGGGCCCCCCTGCCTTAAAATCAGAAGTAATTCGCTGACTAGCTTAGCGCCGTTATTTGCGCATGAGCGGTGATTCGATCATCTGATTGGTTGTCTTCTATGTCAATCAAGTAACGGGATTGATGATAGGCTGATGTAGTACGTCTGTGTCTTTAGCATCTTTGTTTGAATGGCAGCGCCACTGCCAAGGTGTTTTCGACGCTCGTCGTGTGAAAGCCCGGGGCCGCATTGAATAAGCCTAAGAGCCGCATACGGCTCGCGAGCCGCGGGTTGGCCACCCCTGGTCTAGATTGTTATGGATGCAAAGTTCAAAAGCCAGCCTGGGGCATCTTTCACATCTGTGAAGGCACCATGAATGCTGAAGGATGTTTTGGAGAAACATATGCTGCCAACCGAGTAACGTGTTTTTGATAGATGCCCCTGCTTATTTCAGCAAAACAATGACAAACCACATTCTGCACCTGTTACACCAGCGTGGCTTTGTAGTAAGAAGAGTATGGGTACTAAACTGGCCTGCCTGCAGTCCAGAGCTGTCTTCCATTGAAAACGCAGACCTCGGACTGTTGAGCTGAAGCTGGATATCAAGCCAGAATGGGAAACAATTACAACAACAACGCTTCAACAATGAGTGTCCTCAGTTCCATCAGTTTATTCAATTAAATTTAGGTTGAACATGACTTGCACATCATTGCATTCTGATGTTACGTATGTTTAACACAACGTTCCAACTTTATAGGAATAGGGCGTGTGTGTGTGTGTGTGTGTGTGTGTGTGTGTGTGTGTGTGTGTGACAAATAGTCCCAAAAGTTCAGGCAACCACTGTGGTTATTAAAAAAATTATATATGAACAAGAACACAAGCAATATGTTTATGCAAAACATGGATGTGTCTCCAATTGTGAATGAAGAGACTATTGATGAATTTCTGGATAAATTCAGTTGGAAAATGTCCTGTTCCTGTTGCTCCGATTAAAACGAAGCCTATTTCATGTCGATCTAAAAGATCTCAGAGGTGCACTTGAGCGGAATGAAAGCCGAGCCTGAGTGGAGAAAAACTGAACTCCAACTTAAGTAGAGAAAAACTAAACTCCCAAGTTCATTTTGCCCTGTACAGACAATTTCGTTTTATATTAACAAAAAGTTAGTAAAAACAAGTCAACACTTTTCTAAAATCATTAGTCAGAACCTAAACAACACACATACTCTATTTGCTGTGGTCTGCCCTGCTAGCAACCAGTTCAGGGTGTACCCCGCCGACTGACCGAAGTCAGCGGGGATGGGCTCCAACACGCCCGCGACCCTCGTGAAGAGAAAGTGGCTCGGATCAGGCATGGATGGATATTTTAAAACAAATAGCGCCAGAACTCCACTCAACGGATCAATGCAATTCATTTGCCTGCTACTTCGCAAAAAAAAGTACAATGCAACAAGTCAAACATCATCACAAACCAGCAAAATTACAAAATGATGCAAGACTTTACCATGACAGAATGTACCCAAAAACTAGAACTGCTTTGGTTTTTCAGATGACATCATCAACTAGTTGTCTTGACTCAATTCCTTTTGGTGAAATCGGTTCAAACTGAGTTCCAGCAACTAATCAACTGCTCACTTCACTCAGGCAAGTTTCCTCAAGAGTCAACTCAACTCAACTGTATTTATCGAGCACTTTAAAACAACCACCGCTGTATACAAAAGTGCTGTACATAGAGCAAATATCATATACTGTATACAACAATAAATAATAAGACAGTAGAAGGCACAAAAACAGTCAAAGTAAAATCAAGTCTGAGTCATACCGAGTCAAAAGCCAAATAATACAAATTAGTTTTGAGACGAGTTTTAAAGATGGGCAGCGAGGAGGCTTGCCGAATGTTCAGTGGGAGGTCATTCCAAAGAGAGGGACCAGCAACGGAAAAGCCTTGGTCGCCTCTGAGCCTCCACTTAGTTCTTGGTACCTCTAATAATGAATGTTTGGTCTGCAGACCTGAGGCACCAGGCAAGTGTGTAGGGGCGGAAGAGCTCAAGAGAGGTTAAGTGGGGCAAGGCCATTTAAAGATTTGGAAACAAATAATAGGCTTTTAAAAAGAACTCTTAAATGTATCGGGAGCCATTGAAGGGATGCCAGAATACAAGTTATGTGTTCCCTCTTACGAGTACCAGTCAAGAGGCAAGCAGCAGCATTCTGGACCAACTGGAGACACTAATGGAGGATTGGCAAGTAAAGTGCATTACAGAAATCCAGCCGGGATGTGACAAAGGCATGAATTAGTGTTTCAAAGTGCTCAAAGAGCTCTAACTCGGGTTCTGACCACAACAAACAGATCAGAAAATATTATTCCAGTCCTAAATTCTTTATGCTAGATCTGAGTGAGCTGTAGAACAGATTTGAAAATTCTGCTACTCGTCTAGAAATCACCATTTTGGATCCTGAATACATTAAAGAAATGCTGATTGCATATAAACCCGAGAAGGCTTAGAGATCTGGAGACACAGGTCAATTTGTGGAGCCCAGAACTCAAAGTAAACATGGTGAAGCTGCAGCTGCAGACAAACGCAGTAAGCTGCCAACAAAAGTGAGGTCAGCCCCGGGTGTCAATGCTTTTCAATGCAGGTTAAAAACTTTGGTTTTTGATTAAAGTCCTCTCAACAGTTTCAAATCATGTTTGGATCGTTTTGCTATTTTAGAAACCTACTTTTATTTCTTGACTTTTAAATGTTTTTAAAGCTTTCTCTATACGCGTTTAAATTGTGTCAATGTACATTGTGGTCATATTTTTGTGAGCTACTTTAGTTTTCTCTGCTTTACTTTTGAATGTTAACTGTTATGTTTGTGAATACTTCAAATCGTCTTTGCTTGTGTGAAGCACACTGCGGTGCATTGTGTATGAAATGTGCTAGATAAATAAAGACGCGTTTGCCTGTCTCTTATCAAAGTGTGTTAAGTTGAGATGTATAAATTTCAAACAACAACAACATGTGGTCTGGCTATCCTTAGACGAGTCTTTAGCGTTTGCGTTGTCTGCAAGCAGCGTGTGGAAATCTTACCGTAGGGCAGTAGATGGAACACCTCGTCCGGTCTTGTGATCCGACTTGAGGGTGCAAAGGCGTGCGCATGGAGAACTTTCCCCGAAGTGCTCGTGGTATCTTGAGGGCGTGGCTCGTCGCCCGCCACGGCCTGAAGTTTATCAACATCCGTGCTCAAGGCACTGCGGAAGTTCTCCATACAACAGGAGCGCAACACTGACCACGGGGAGCGTTTCAAAGAAGGATGTTCCGGAGGGGGCTATTTATTTGAACGACGCTGGTGCGCGCTCATGTGCCTCAAACATGCGCTCCCAAGACGAGAAAGTCACTTTTGTTGGCAGGAGCGGGGGCGTTTCTCGACATCCAGCGCCATCAAAATGAAAAAAAAAGTGCCAATAGCTCAAGCCATATCGATGGCAACACTCGTAAACACATCTTTCCATATCATCCAACAAAGGCAGAGAGAATCGGAAAAGAGCGTCATTGACTACTGACATAGGACACGTGTGAAGTGTGGTGATTTACCCAATTTGCATTTCAATGCATGAATAGAAGTGGTGAGAAATCAGATATAGTTAACATGATCATTGGGGCCAGGCTAACATTGATCGACGTTTCAGTTGCTCGGCTTAATGGCGAAGATGTGCCCTTTTGAGGCTGAAATTGCGCGCTCTTGTTGAAACAGGATCTTGTGGCAGGCCTTACAGCAGAAGTCAAGTCACATATTTGCTTTGCAATATGTTCGATGTACACCAACTTGTCTACTAAACACGGTATTCTAATTCATATTGCATTTGTGGAATATAAATTAGGCAGAAGAGCCCAAGAGACTGCCTTTTTGTCCTGTACTGCCACCTGTTGTCAACTGACGCAACGGCATTTGAAATGTCATGGTCAAGTAATTTCAGTTCAGGAAAATGTTGCTTTTTTTCTTAATACTTTATCCTGCTTGTATTATGTGTGCTGAGCAAGGTTCTGGATATGCGTGCTTTTTTTTTTCATAAAACCCTGACTGTGAATGCTATGATAAACAATGGCGTCCCAGTTGTACCGTAGCGGGAGTGATAAACATTCACACGCATGTGAGGGACTACACTTTAGGATTAAACCCAATTAAATGGTTATTTTTCAAGTACTAATAATCATCGCCATGTTTAAAGCTGGTGCAGTGTTTAGTTTGTAGGTGTCTGCTCTGTTTTCAGTGTGTCAACCCTGTGATTTACAAGTGATGTATTCCTGTTTTGACATTTTCTGACTCGATGCACACATCTAAGCCTACTTAAAATTCAAAGCAATTAGTCGGCTGTAACAACAATTACTTCAGAATAAATGTTGCTAATCTTGTTGACTGCATCTGTAACTTGAGACCGAGGAAGGAAGCTGTTAAAAAAAAAAAAAAGCACCTTGGCGTCATTTTCCGGAAAACCCAAATAACCTTGGCCTCAGCAGATGTCACCGTGCAGCTCCCAGCACAGGAAGAGGAAAGAGTGAAACTACTGCCTAGTAACTTGTATTTGGTGGTGACTCAGGCTGCGCCATTTGAATCCGCTTGTGAAATTTCCCTCCCAGCCTAACATACCGTTTTGAAAAATAACATGCTAGGTTGTGTTCTGGTAGAGTAATGACGTGAATAGTGTAAACATTCAAGTAATACGGGTAACTGATCTAATACCCCGCAACCCCTCCACACACTCACGCGCACCCAACACACGACGTGACTTCAGAGATCACCTATATGTCACGAAGCTCATTAACAAGTGTCTTAATGCAATGTCACATCGTACATACAAAAATAATGATGATGATAATAATAATAATAATAATAATAATAATAATAAAACCCACAAAAAGAATTGCGTTTTTCAGGGGAACCCGATCGGTGAAGTTGTGACTAGTGATGTGAAATTGTAATTATTTTCCATTTCAATAACAACAGTGAGTTGCTGTTTGACTTGCATAAGGTCGACCATTTGTTTATTGTGAAAGAATAGACTGAAGAAACTATTCTAAACTTGCAAACATCAAAAAGTGTACGTTTTTTATTTGACTGAAAAGGTACAGTAGAAGTGATCCTTCGCTGATTTACTTGGCTTTGATTGGGCGACATCTGGCGGCCAAAAAGGTTAGAACACCCCTTCAATGCTTTTCCTATTCAGACTCCACCGAGTTTACCAAGACTGTATGTGTTTAAAAACTGCATTGCAGTAACACGCTGCGGACATGCTGCCAAAAAAAAAAAAAAAAAGCCAAACAAATATGCGGCATCAATGCTTTTGAAATAAAAATTATATGAGACAATCTACTTGCAATTACTCAACCATTCCACTTCTGGAATGTACTGGATGGCACTCACGAAGCTTCATTTCGAACTGATGTTGCATTTCAAACTATTTGAAACCTACAAACAGCATGTGACTGCCATTGCCTCTGATTTTCTGATTTTGAATGGAGTTGTTCCACTTCTGGGAGCTAACTAGGCTTTTCCAAATTGTAACATCTGGAACTTTTATTGAGAACTGGTATTGCATTTTCAAATAAAAGTCAAAAAAAAATCTACATGTGACGACCATTACATATCATCATCATCACCATCATCATCATCTTCTCTTGCTTACCTAAGGTCAGGTCGCGGGAGCAGCACCTTAAGCAGGGAATCCCAGGCGTCCCTCTCGTAGTAGTAGTAGTCGTTTTCATGCCAAGCACAATATCGGCTTTATGCAACCAAATTTCAGATGAAGTGAGAGGTTATTTTTCCTCGGGTGTTTCTTGTACATCAAATTAAAGGCACATGATGAAAACAGAGATGGCTGATTCGTTCAAAGATCCTTTTTGTCATGTACTACTGCAAAGTCATAATGACGTTTTTTTTTGGGGGGGGGGGTCGGGGATTAAAAACTTGCCCATTAAGTGTTGTCAACTCAACAACAAAATCAAGAGCACTAAATCAGAAAGAGATTCTATCTGTCAAATGTTAACATGACATGGGTCATGTTAAGGTTCTGTTCAGCTGCGTGAACCTGTTGGTGGTTGAAATCCCTTTGATGATACTAGTGTAGCCTGTACTACCGGAGATAAATTCCTTGTGTGTTCTTCATACTTGGCCAATAAAGATGATTCTGATTCTGATTTAATCTCATGAATGTGCATCTGTGCTAAGAGGGAACACATTTATTTGTTTATCCGCAAGGTTGTACTTTCTAACTGAACTTGCGCTATAGACTACGTGAAACAATACAGTATACCAATTTGCTATCATGGCACTGATGATAGGTGAATTGAACGCGCGAGTATCTGATGCATTTAAATTGTGCACCTGACCTGCAGCTTACAACTCGGACATTGAAATAGAGACGAGTTTGTTTGAAAGTGCATGATTGCAGCGGAGACAAAGCCTCGTCAACAAAGGGATAATTGGCCAATTTATTGTTGATGATGCAACTCAACACATTTGCAATTCCTATGAGACAGATCCATTACCGATCCTGCCACCCATTGAAGGGCCAGTTTATTTATCCTGCAAAACCTGAAGAACAGACCAAAAGACACAAATTGTTTTTTGTGGTCAAATCATGATTTGATGGATTTGCAAACAGAAGGCAAACTGTTGTTGTCATTTTACAGTGCTGTGTGTGAAAGACTATTAAATTCACTGCCAGCCACTTTAGAGTATTCTGACATTTTCAAGACCGACAGGGTATTGTGGTCAATGTTTATAGATACACCAAACTACTGTCATCCTTTCATTACCATTACTTTTACATTAATGTAAAACCTAACATAAACGTACTGTTTTACTGTACTTCCTCAGGAAGAATTGCACATGTGAAGTCTGTTGTGCTCCACCTACTGCCCAAATGTGTGTACAAGCCACGCTAGCAACATGGTCACAGATCCATACAACAGACAAACCCGGACTTCAGTCAGAAAATCCACTGATGCGAGAAGTTAGTAGATTGCAACACCGGCATAAGCACGAAAGGTAAAAAAGTGACATTTCAGGATGAAGCTTACATGCTCAATGAGTTTTACACGTGTGCACACCCTTGATAACCAGTCTCGGGGAGTAATACTGTACATGTATCTGATGTCCTGTGTGTGTTTGTTTCATTCCAGCTCCAGCTGGAGTGAAGGGTGTTTCCCTCCTGCAGGCGCACCTGTTTCTTGCTCCCAATCAAGGCCTTGCCAAATATTTAAGGACTGCTAAATTGCCAACTCTCTGTTGGATGATTGACCTTGCTCGCTGTCCTGCCTCAAGTGTTATTTTCTGGACCTTCTTGCTCATGTTCCCTGTCGCTCTTGTCCGTTTAGATTCTGGTTTCGTAAGTGTTTTTGTTCGAGATTTTTTGCTGATTTTGCGTGTTTGGACTCTTGCTATTTCGGTTTTGCTGTTTGCCTAGCCTTTTGCGAGCGTTTTCTGTTCATGTTTTGTTTTCCTGTTTTTTTTTTTTTTTGCCAGCGATTTCTGTACTTTGTCGGACCTTCGTTTTTAATTAAATACATTTTTTAACAGATTTTATTTGTGTCTACGTTTGTGGGATCCTGTCAGTACCATAATTGCACATTCACATTTGGATTCCATCTACTGTCCGAAGACATCTGGGATAGGCTCCGGCGCGCCCCGCGACCCTTGTGAGTGTAAAGTGGATCGGAAAACGGATGGATGGAACATGAAGATTTTTTCTGGAGTTTTGCCTAACCATGTTTGACATCATCAGTCTGAACTTTCCAGTCTTCACCCACAGTGGTGTATTCTTGGCACATGCTATCACTGTGCATGCCTGATTAGACACCACTTAGTCATGTGCGTCATTTTGCGCATTGTAGTGACACAGGGCATTTTATAAATCATCTGACAGAGATACAATGGTGATACAATGACCCACAGATGAGTGAAGGATTGTCATTGATTCATGCCATGAGCAATACATGATTGGACAACAAAAATACACAAAATCTTTTCTCAAAGTGATGTGCCCAGTACAAGTACAAAGCCACATGACTTGTAATGAGGGATGTGGAATATTCATTTATTTGTATTTTTTTTCCAATAATACTTTCCTCCAAATTTTTGAATGTGAAAATGTTTTCGATATTGTGTTTCTTTTCACTGCGCCCTGAAATACACAGCCAGCAGGAAAGAAAAACAACCAGATACAGTATGCATTCTTCCATGAGGCACCTCATACTTTGATCTGAGAACATGTAAGCCTCAAATTTACAAATCATTATTGAATCCTTCTTGTCGAGCAATTTCAGGAGAGCAATCATAGCTGTGTATTGAGTATTCATCATCACTGTAAAAGAGCATGTATCAAAGTAAGTTTATTTGGAACGTTGAATCAGGTAGTAAAGAAGAATGCATGTTCTATTTCATTGGCCGCTTGGCAGGTTTCTAATGTGATTCGTGTTCCCCGTCAAGCGGCTCCTTCATTGTGAGGATGTTTGTGCTTCCTGTTCTGTCACAGCCCATGAAGAAACCTGCAGCAAAACACACCAGTCAGTTGTCATCTTGAGAATTTCTTTTGAGTTCCACTTTTTACACCAAGAGTCACATGAGGCTCTCAAATGGTCAGTTTATGTGTTTATTGCACACAATCTTGAGTAAGCAGAAGCGCTGTGTTTTTTTTTCTTTCACCAGCCCAGGTTGTGCCCCGCATTTCACCTGCAATCCCATGAGGGCAAGTGCAAAAGAAAAAGGATGGCTGCATGGATGATGAATGGTTTTGTCTTTCAGTGGAAAGCTTCAGTGAATGATGGTGCACATTCTATAGGCCCATTGAAAGGGAAAATTCCCTCACCTCAGCCTACACTTATTCAGAAATATCCCTCTCCTCTCTGGGTATGCTCTCCTCCAGGGACCGCTGTCTAAATGGAAAACAAGACATTGGCCACAACATTAGAAATGCCTGCAAAAACTTAACATCAATGACACCTCATTTTCACTGTTCGTGAGGCTCATTTTTTATAATTTTCGCTTCCAGTTTGCAGTCAGATATATATAAATTGAGCATTATTAACTTTGTAATTGCAGGATTTTTATAGAGCTCTTATATTAAATTGTCACCTATTAGACGGAGCAAGTGTAGCCTAATAGTATGATTCCTGTAATTGTTTATTGTCCAAGATGATTAAAAAAATCAGATGGCACACTCACTAGGCTCAGAATTTCTTCTTCCCATTAATCCAACAAAGATGTCATGCATTTCCCCTAAAAAGAGCCAAAATTACAGATCGTTCTTCAATATGCACACACGAAAAAAAAAAAAAAAATCAGAAGCAACAATTACTTACTTTTTAGTGGGTGTTGCATCGTGTTTGCATCTAAACAATTATTGCAAAGAAATGTATTTGAAACAATGGTTAGACATATATATTGTATATGGATACAGTATATTTTTAGTATATATAGAACTCTCTCACACGCACACCCACACACACACACACACACACACACACACACACACACACACATATATATATATATATAAAAGACTGAGTGTAAAAGAGAGAGAGGGACAGATTTTTTTTTTTAAACTCACCGGCAGCATCTCTTCTGCCCATCAAACCCACAAAACTGTCATAATCCAAATCGCTATACCTCTTCATGAGGTTCCGTTTAGGATTATTTAATCCCAGATGTTCCTGCTACGAAAGATCAGTCAGGTAAAACAAATCAACGTCTGGACAATGTCGGGAGCGGAAAAAAAAAAAACTTACAAGTGAAGTTGGCTTGCGTGACTCGGGATCGTCGCATCTAGATCGACTGCATCGAAGTTTGACGAGAAGGAGCAGAAACACCAGGAAAAAATGTCTTCTCATTTTCCCAGCAACACCTGCAAAATATTATTAGCGTCCCCCCCTGCCATTAAAGTCGATTTACTGCTGATTCTTGTCCTTTTCTCCAGCAATAAACCGCACTTGCAGCGCATTTAGTGCGTAAATACGCACGAAATGTTGGCAAACACATCCGAGGGAAAACTGCTCGGTCTTTTGTAAATATGATGTAATCATTTCATACCCGCCAATATGTGGAGAAGTTTTTTTCTTACCTGTTGTTTGGAGAGAAGTGGTCAAGTGCCGAGTGCAGTGAGAGCTGTTCCGATAAAATGCGGGTGGGGGTCTACCCTTTGGGGGCAATAAATAATAGCTGGAAACCTGCGTAACGCCAATCAGCAAGTAGAACGTAGGTGGAGTAGAGGGTCTTATATCACGCTGGGCTGAAAAGGATTGTAGCCTGCTCATTGATGGGTTCTCCCCACCCCTTCTGACACGCTCGCACAGACGTCTAGGCTATACACACAGACATCATGACAAAGCCCACACACATTTGTGGAAGGATAATTGAGGCACCAGAACATTATGATCATGAAAAAGTCAATTTTCTTGTCTTCCCTGTCATGTATCCATCTCATTGAGGCGATATACGGCTGTGTTCCCTTTGGTGCCTTTCCACTCCAGCGACCAGTTGACATGGTCACTGTCAGGATCCTAATCTTTTTAGGAAGTCATTATCAAGATAGCAGCTGCCTCTGCATGTCACTATATGCAAGATGGTGATGGATGTGACAAGATGGGCCACACAGCTGCGCTTGGAGCTGACTTGTGAACTGTAGGCTGTATAAACGGAAACGCAGACCCCAATTCCAATGAAACACTAATCAATCCAATAATTATCCATTTTATCCTATATTAAATGGAATACTGTACAAAGGCAAGACATTTAATGTTCAAATTGGTACATTTGCTTGTTTTTGCAGGGGCCAAAAATTCACTCATTTTGATCTTGATGCCTGTTCCAAAAAAGCAGGGTCAGGGACATGACAAGCACTGTGTTCCAGTGAACTCAAGGTTGTTAATATTATACAGTTACCACTAATGGTAGGCTCTACTGCACACACTGTAATCACACAGTGCGGCGAGCAATTATTATTCTACAAGAAATAAAGTTGCCATTAGCACTGTGTGTGTGTGTGTGTGTGTGTGTGTGTGTGTGTGTGTGTGTGTGTGTGTGTGTGTGTGTGTGTGTGTGTGTGTGTGTGTGTGTTCAGTCTGTTCCAAACTTCCACTCCACAAACAGATGTACAAAAGCTTTTCATTTGTGTCATTAAGTACTTTGTCTTTAAATCATATATTCCCTTCAAAGTATATCCACCCTTTCTCTTGGTGAAGATATTTTGGATATTGCCTTGGGGTAAAATATGTTGTGCTTTCACCATTAATTGTACAGTTTTAGATTCCACAAGAGGGTGGAAACAGTCAATTTGTGTGGTGAAGGGATCCAACATTATAGACTGCTCTTCGAGCCCTTTTTGCAATATAAACAGGAGGTTGTAGTGAATTCTTGTCGGTGATCCGACAAACTTCTGGACACTAATTTAAATATGGTAATCGCAAAACTTTGCATTGAACACAATCCGATGATCCTGCTCCTCTTTGGCCCGGAGGACTCAACATCCATAATTTCCAAAAAACAATCGGAAATGTGGGCTCCTCAGACCACAGCATACTTTTAACTTTGCGTCAGTCCAGCTCAGAGGAGCTCGGGCCCAGAGAAGCCAGGAGTGTTCCTGGATGTTGTTATTATATGGTTCACCTGCTCATTATGTAAATCAAGTTGAGTCATTTCCCCTTTCTGTAGGAGCTTCAGACAGTCAGATTTCATGCTAGCACTAAGCCGACCATTTAGCTTGCAATTACACAAGCAATTACTCTTCTGTTGTGCCTGTTCAAAATGCAAATCAACATGAATATTTCATCAAATCAAAGTTTGAGATCACAGGTACAAAACAGTCGGTAGGATCTACAAGAGCTGCTTTTGCCCTCTATAGTTTATAATCCTCTGGAAGAGGACGACAAAGTGTCAAATCACAAAGGGTTACCATTGCCATGTTTTAGTGATGACTTCCACTTTCCATATTTGTCCTGTTGCTGCATGCCGTAACAAGGGGATGGCAACAGTGCAGGGGTGTGGCTGACGATGGGAGATCTGACAGAAGTGGGGAAGTCATTAATTGTGCGTTTACATTATTGATGTGTGTTTTTGTCATCCCTGTTAATCAAAGCGGAGTAAGCTAAAGCCAGGGGCTGTTTTTCCACAACATGCCAAAGCCGCTTTGCTCGGATGGATCTTGGTCCAAATGCATGTCACAGACCGTCACATAGAGTACCTTCAATGATATGACATGATCCAGAATTGACAGTTTGTTTGGATATTAGCCATCCCACCAACAGTCTCCGAATGTGTACTGGTGCCTTGATGTTTGAATCTCCAACTGGAGTTTTACCACAACTTTGATGAAAACTTCAAAGTTCAAACTATGTTTTGGTGTCATGTTGCATGATGTCATCTTACGTATCATGTGCACGAGACTTCCCATTTAAGCCACCATCGAAAGATCCATTTCAGTGCGCTTCAGAGGACTCTCTCACTGTCCTGCATTGCTTTTTTTCTTCAACACGTGTATCATATTTGTGAGGAAAGATCATGCAGTTCATGGAGTGAGCGAGCTACGCCACTGACGTTCAACTCCAGCCATGCGGTCAGTCTTCTTTCTGTACTTTGATAGTTTGAAGCGGCTCAACAACAAAATTATACAAGCATGAAAAATCATTCTTCTTCTGGACATCTTTCATGGCCAGTGCTTCTATTGTCACAGAACATGAAAGATCCGTCAAGATGCTCTAAAGCGGTTGGCAATATGGAAACTTCTGCTTTGAAAAAGGCTGGCAGTAATCTCCATCCATCCATTTTCTGATCCGCTTATCCTCACAAGGGTCGCGGGCGTGCTGGAGCCAATCTCAGCTGTCTTCGGGTCGTAGGCGGGGGACACCCTGAACGGGTTGCCAGCCAGTCGCAGGGGACACACAACCATCCGCCCCCACGCTCATACCTCGGGACAATTTAGTGGATTCCGTTAAACTGCCATACATGTTGTTGGAGAACATGCAAACGCCACACAGGAAGGCGAAAGCCAGAATCGAACCCTGCACCTCTGCATGTTTATGAATCAAAATTCTTGCTCGATGACAGTCTCATGTTCTGCTTCGTCTTTGTTTTTGTTTTCAGGACCAGCTGGAGGGGAGCGCTTGCCTCTTCAGTGGTACACCTGTTTCTCGTTACCACTCACACCTTGCCGTGTATTTAAGGACTACCAAACTGCCTAGTCACTGTCAGATTATTGACCATGCTTGCTGTTTGCTCAAGAGAAATTTTCTAGACGCCTCATTCATGGTTATAGTTTCTCTTGTTTCAATATTTTTCTTGTTTAGTAAGTATTTTTGGATTTCTTGTTATTCTTGGATTATTTAAATTTTCTATAATTGAACTTTCACCATTTCATGTTGTGTATTTTCAGGTATCAAAATTACCTTGCCGTTTGCAATTATTTTTTATTCGTATTGGCTTTTCCTGGTTTTGTGTCACCCACGCTTTCTATTTATACTTTGTCACCACTTTGTTTTTCTGTAAATATTTTTTGTACCGTCGTTTGTATGAGTCGATGTTTGTGGGATCCACTTACCATCTGGTCTATTTTCGGATCTTGTCAGGCAGCAAATGCCCACAGTACCCTAATTTGCATAACTCGCGCAGATCGCCCCCCACCCCCCACCCCAAAAAAGGCATCCATTTGACGCATCTTAGCCAATGCGTAGAGGTTTGAAAAAAAAAAAACAGTTTCAAGAGATGAGGTTTAAAATCTGTTCTACACCTGGCTGTGAACCAGTGTGAAGCCTTTCGGAACGAAGTACTGTAAAATGTTCTAATC